GAATTTCCAGCGGAAAAAAATAATCTTGAATTTCCAGCGAAAAAAATGAAGACCAACCTCTTCGCGAGGTTCAAGAGTCGGCGCTATTTCGGTATACGGGCGCGTATTTCGTGTAATACAACCATAAGACTCAGTAGGTCCGAGTTGACTCGAGGTGGGTCCGAAATGGCGTGGGCCCGAGTTGGCGTGGGTCCGAGCTGGTTGTGGGTCCGAGATGGTCATGGATCCGAGTTAGTATTTGGTCCGAGTTGGCGTGGGTCCGAGTTGGAATGGGTCCGAGTTGGTTTGGGTCCGAGTTGACCTGATCCCTTTCAAAAGCTCAGACTGCCCGGGTTGAGATTTCGAAACACTCTTTAATTGTTCTTTTCCATTTTGACGGTCACCCTTAGTTTGTCAACCAGTAGAAAATGATGCAACAAAATTTAGCTTCGACTGAGAAGTGGCACTGGAAATTTCCAGTGACATCCATTTTGTGATCTTATTCATAGCCTTAATTTTCCAAGATATTTCTGTACTTGCAATGCATTTAACCACACAAAATGTAACGGTCATTTTTGCCATTCGGTGTGTAGTGGCGTACCCCCCCCCTTAAAGAAATCTACAAGTCCCCCTGAACAAACTGCCTCTCTTAAAATTGGTTCTGGATCCGCTCTATGATTCTCTTCTTTTTCTCTTCTTTTCATGGGGACTTCCAGCGAGTTACTGATGCTCCGCAGTCTTTTCATTAAGCCCCACGTCCGTAGGGCTGCTCTCTTTTACAATTTGTCTCTTGTCTGTCGCCACCGCCACAGATAAGAGATTGTAAAAGAGAGCCACTACAGCCCTATGTGTGGGGCTATAGTGATCCTTCCCCTAAATTTCCACGTTTTTAATTTCATAAAAAATGTTGTAAATACAACAATAAGGTCTGTATTTCAATAAGAAAGGTTTCAAGAACTAATTACTGAATTTTGTGATAGAAAATCCATCAACTGTTAAGTTTTCTTTTTTAAAGTTTGGAATGCGCTCGCGCTTGTTAAGACGTTACTGGTATCCGCTCGTGTGCAGCATACATGCGAGCTAGCCCCACTACGCACATAACATACGTTCGTATACCAGCAGGTGCAAACCCTCACAATAGCTATCAGCTGTACATTGTAGCTGAGTTCCCGGACAGAAGAAATATGCTCTCAAATTTTCCTGTATATTTGCATTTCGGCAGTTATTATGTGTCTGTCCACTTGTGGGACTAGTGGCCCAATGGTGTGGTAAGACCACTATGCTGTTAGCGACAGCAATCTGCTTTGGTTTCGTAATTGAAATGTGTTCTTCTTCAGTGTTAACGAACAGCCCAGGTACGTACGTACAGATTGCCAGGCCTTTAATCGTGGCAGTGCAGTTGAGCTGCACCAGTTTCGTGACAGATATTCTTTATTGTGAATTTGTTAATAACGTTACTTTAATGTAAGCTGGGCAACAGTTCCATCTACAAACGCCGCTTAATACCCTGTGCACAAACCGTCTGAAAAATTCTGTTTTCTAAGTAGGGCCTAGGTAAACGACTTGGTTTTTTTCCCCTTTAAATTGAACTTTTCTGGACATGTTTTTGCTTTCCGACAGTAGTAGGCCACTACACTACTGTTACTGCAGGGAATAATTACTGACATCCGTATGTATGGAACTCTTCCCGTTCGCTGTGAGCTGAAGTTACCAAGAACATGAAGAAGTTGCCATTAATCTTTAGGGGCCTAATTTGTTCTTTTTACATGTATATACATGAAATATAGAAATATCCTACACATATTGTACAAAATAGGCCTATGAGCAAGTTGAGGAAAGAATGATGTAACTTCTTAGTACGTAGGCCAATCCCAGTTTAAATAAACCTTTTCGATGTTCGCAATGCATTATGGGTGTGGATGACAAACAAGCAATGTATTTTATGCACCACCCTATGGGGGAAGTGAACCAGTCAAAAATTAAGTTACAGTTTTCTACTAAATATTTTTTGTGTATCTGCTCATCAACTCACAGATGCATGCGTATTGTCAGATTATACAAGAAACATTTTCAAATACATTTTCAAATATTTGTAAGAACAAATCACCCTAAATTGCCCTTTTTTAAGGGCACTAGTCACTCTACAGGCTGAAAATGAACGTGACTGGTCAAAGTGGGATGAATGAGCTGCAAGTCGTAATTTTGATTGGCCAATAACTAGAACATTAATATTCATGGTTAGTCAAAGCACGGTCTGTGACAAAAAGTAGTATTGTTGGAAGGAATTCTTTGAATTTTCCTTCTTTACCAACCTTTAAACATCGAAGTTTGTGAATGTCTTCGTCCCAAATCAATAATGCAATGCTTTGTCAGAAGGGGATGGCTTGAATTGGAGTATGAAGTAAGATGGAAACAGATTAACGTTTTGCAGGTACACTTCTGCCATAGGGATGTGCATAAAATGCATTGCATGTATGTCATCCACACCCACAGTGCATTGCGAACGTCGAAAATGTTTAGTGTGGTGTGAACACCATTTTTAATATTTATTTCTACTTAGAATTAAGATGCCTCTTTAAGTTTCATCTACACGTAGGGCTTGGAGAGAGAATGTTTTCATTTTAATTTTATAACTGTATTTGTCTGTTGGGGTTTATTGTTTCTATGTTTTATTTGTTGGAGAGTAATTACATAGTGATTAAGTTCGCTTAAAGTGATCCGACAGGTCTGTGCTCAGTTCTGTTTATTATTTTATCTCCATGTAGTGTTTGTAATGTTGTTACTGTATAGTATGTACGTCTGTCCGTGTGCAGCCTGTGAAATAATAAATTGAAGGAAATGAAATGTGATAACGGTGATCATAGGTGACTGATGTGTAAATCTAAAGTGCACTTGACACTCATTATTCACTGTCATAATTGCTGCAATTACGGTACATACATGTACATACATTTATATAGTTAACGTGTATTGTTTGAATGAGACGACGGCTGTGATGTAAAAAATTGGAGTGCTGTTTTTAGATACTGTGCACACCAGTCCTAGGCTTTCATTGTTGAGTTAATTTTACAGTTCATGTTGTTTGATTTCTTTATATTTGTCTCTAGATTTCTTTGATGGCGTGTTTGTCTGCGTGGAGGAGGACACAAAAAACAATGTCACTGTCATCACTTGGACAATTGCCGCTCATATTTACGTCTCATACTGCGACCTGCGTCACTTTAAGCAGGAGACGCCGTCCTTTTCGACCGTTGAGCAAAGATTATCTCCCGCCGGAACATTTAAGCTGAGGAACTTGAAAGAATCGGTTGTTTATGTCGTCCAAGTGACATGTTTGCATGTGGTTTCCAGCGAAGGACAGACTGGTTCAAGCGAAAGCTACCAGTCCAGTGAAGTGTCATTTGTGTCAGGTGAGAGAGATGGGAAAAAGATCTCCAGCACAGTAAGGTAGTGAAAGATTCAGCTTCTCAAAATCCTATCCATGACAAATTCCTTCCTTGATGTTAGGACAAACATGAATGATAAATCTTGACATTTTGCAGACCGTACTACATGCATTTTAGCTGAAGGTTATGACTTTCGGAAAAGGTAAGATATCGGGCCCACATATACAGCAATAGCCACTGACTTGTCAGCATTTTGAGTGGTACATGTACATGTAGAATATCGGCATGCCTGATTCCCTAGCATATTGTGTGAAAAGTCATTTACATTAACTGGTATGTCCATGTACATGTCTGATACCTCAACCAATACCTCAAAGTCATGGAAGAAATGCTTCAGTCAGGCCAGTGGTCGTTATCCTTTAGAGGAAAGGAGTTCTCCCAAAATTGAGTCTTGCAGGTTGGCATTTCATCTTAGGCCAAGCGGTCGTATTTAGTTTTTATTTTATATCTAAGACAAGCCCCTGTGATTTTAAAGGAACCTTCCTGAATCTGACAGAATCCTTCATTGTGCAAAAATGAAAATGGTAACATTTTCTGCACTTCAGCTTTCAAGAGGCATCAAGCCCTGTGTGCAGTAATAAAGACTGGAATAGCTACATGTACATATATGGTACATGTACCTCCCTACAAAAAATCATCAAGGTCCTTGTACATACAGGTGTACAGGGGATTTGTCTAACATTCTATGTTAATTGTGCTGTGGCGTGAGTTGAATATGAAAATACAGGTAGCAGTTGTATCTTTGTTTTAATTGTTTTGTTTGCGTTTACAATGCCAATTTACTGGTGCATATGGAAAACCGAATGAGTCAGATATGGGAATTCCGTTAAACCTTACATACTGTATACGCACATTTACAATGTACATGTTGGTGGGAGAAGGTCTAAGGCATATGCATATGTTACACATTGCTTTGCAGTACACACCTGCACGCGTACAGTATACATAAGCATGTTTACTCTCTACATGTACATGCACTGGTACAGTTACACGTACATGCACATGTGCAATGTACATCCACATGTGCAATGTACATCCACATGTGCAATGAACCTGTTGTTTGTCTTCTCAAATTTCAGCCAAAAAGTATTCCATATGAAACATTAACAACTTTCGGGTAGAAATAACAAATTTGACTCATTTTAACATGAAAATAATTTTGTTTTAGTTTTCTTTTGCAGTCCCTTTTTTTTCTGTATTTCTCTCCTGTACAAACCATTTACATAAGTACACATAAAGATAGGCCCTACATGCATCATTTTGCCAAAGATACCTGTAGATGTACGGTAAATGTACAGTACATATGTACAGTACATGCATGTGACCGAAACGAAAGTTAACATGTATTTTTTTCCCAGTGCATTTATTTTTGTTTTTCTTTCCAAGAAAATACACACTGATGGTTGCAACCATGCAAATAACCGTGCATGAATCAAAACAGTGAAATGAAAGCATATTGAAACTGCTGGTTGGTACCGTTGCTCAAAATTGAATTCTTGATCAACTTACGGATATTACTCAAGCCTCTGACACATCTCAATGGATGAAACAAAATACGTGAATGACTACTGAAACAAGGAAATCAAAGAGACGGTTCCGGTACCTGTTTCTTCAGACTTTCGAAGGCAGATATTTTAAGGAACATTCCATTTAAAACAAATTTGAATGAGTCTTGCAGTAAATGAATAATTTTTTGAAATAGGCTGAGAATATGTACATGATGTTTTACATGAACCATACATACCACAAACAGCTTTGATACACTCAAAAATCACTTGCATGTTTTATGCATGTATGAGACGGTCAGAACCACTGAATATGCAATGCGTACATGTACAGTGTACATGGGAGGGTCTTAAACATACCGGCAGACATTTTGCATGTTTACATGCATGTACATGTAATACACGTACTTTGTAAACGGCTCCTGTTTTATTATTTTTTTTGGTTTTCATAGATTTAACACTATACCACAAACCCCAACTGTTTGCCTTAACATGTTACAAAATATTACAGAAACCTTTGGAGAATTCTTAGGTACGTACATGTAAGTTACAGTCGAGTCATTTCTACAGGAAGAGAGCGCATGAGTCAATGTGAAGTTTCATTTCCTGACCCTGCAACAACCATGCACATTTATTTACTTTTCCCCTGCCATCCCTGTTATCCATTGGAATTATTAACAGCTGAATAAGTCCAAATATTCCAATCACTCAGGCAGGCGGTATCACTTGATAGAAATCCTCCCCTAGGGTCAGGGAGCTTTTGTGCTGATAAGCATAGGGGCTGTTGAAAAGAGGGACAAAAAAGCCTGTCACCAAATCTCTGTATAACTGGTTACACGATGTTGTTTGTATGTATGTGTGACAAGAACTTTTACATGTGAAGAGTGGTTGTCAGGTTGTAGAATGTTTCACTGCCTGGACATATCTTGTCATGTCTCATTGCATCACATACATCTCAATTGTTGTTTTGCCCTGTGCTGTGGAATATTTTGCTGTCTAGACTTGGATTTTTATAATCAATATTTTGGAAGAATTGCCAAAGTATTTTTTGGGGAACAGAAACAAAAATTTGAATACATTGAGCCTGTCAAAGTGTAGCGTGAATGTGTAGGATGGTTGAGTCCAGCCAATTGGGTTTGAATTTAGTTTGTATCTTTAAGAAAGATACTTCTCTGTGTATGATTTTTTTTTTTGGGGGGGGAGTTTGATCCGTATTGGCAAGCAGTTTGTGGCAGTTTTGTTAAATATGACCCGCTCTGCAAAAACGAGGCACGTCCCCAGAGAGAGATATTGTGGTTTGTTCAGGAGTGTTCTATTTACATAATTTGGAAAGTGTCAAATAATGAAAATCTGAGTAATTAAATTTAAAATATCATTATGAGGAATCTGTGCATACCAAGCACGTCTTGACATCAGGGTCAACTTTGGATGTTCCATGCAGAGATGTTATGTACCAGGTACATGTGCCTGTACATTTGTATAAGTAAATGTATACATGTACTGTATAGACTTGACCTACATTCACATTTGAAGCAAGATATGGGACGGAGAGAAACCCCCTGCCTTTGTGTTGGTCATTGTTTGACCGGAATCTCAGGAATTCTTTACAGACTTCTAGGGGGGATGTGTTAGGTAACAATAGTCTAGAGTGTGTGTAGGGATTGGACAGGTAAGGGGGGGTACCCCTCCGTCCCATATCTTGCTTGGTATATACATTCATTAAAAATTCATAAAATTCAAAATGAGCAAAAACATATGGTGCAAGTGGCTTTGTCTGCACTTGGCTCTGGAATAAATACTTGTAAATATACAGGTACAACCGTACCCAGTTCCTGTATGGTTCATTGCCATTGGAGCTTCAGGGTTTTATTGTGGGGGGGGATTTGTTATTGACTTTGATACCAAGTTCATTACAGATGGCGGTTTACCATTATACAGTACATGTACATATGCAGGTATGTGTGTTAGCAATTCATCCCGAACTGCAATGAAATATATTCAACCATTATTCTACGGGTTAATAATGATGTGGTTGGTAATATTATCAGTGCTACAGGTAGTTCATGTAAATGGTTTATCTCACTCTCCTGTTGCAGCCCAAAAGCTTGATCGAGGGAAGTTTATTCAACAGCAAATTGTTAATAAACTTAAGATAATGATAAAACCATTTTGGATAAAAAGGCCTACAAGGGACTTGAAATATAATTTGTTGAAAATGAAATACATTTGTGAAATTTGAAGAAGAGGATAATGATAGTTTGCTAATGAGGAAAGCAAATTTGCTGAACTTTTGATGCACTGGCGCATGGAAAAAAAGTAGAGAAAATTAAAACCAAGATGGGAATATTGTTCATAGTTTTCATTCAAAAGATGGGTTAAAACTAGGAAAGTGCTCTTTTTGTATCTATTAGTGCAGCACCTGTGGATAGAGACCTCATGCTTGCACTGCAGAAATTGTTTGGTCTTGTTGTTTGGAGCCACTTGCAATACCGGTAATTATGGGAGCAGAGAAGTCCAGTGGTCTGATATTTTTTTGGCCACTGTTGTTCTCCTGAATAACACTGACAATTCCCCACCCCAAAAACGCTAACGGTACAAAATGAATCTTTTTAGTAATACCCATGTTTCCAGTGTTGTGATAATTTCTTCACCTTGTGTGGCAATGAGGGTGGCTTAGTTAGCCAGCCAAAGCGGATGGAAACTCAGAAGAGAGATTGGCAATGGCGGAGCTGGTAGTTAAAAATACTGGTATGCTGGTATATACTGGTACTGGTATGTACATGTACATGTATGTACATATTCTAGGAAGTACTGCACTGGCCTTGTCAGACTGGTTTCTCTGCAGTAAATTTGATCAGCCACAGGATGAAGAGTCCAGTGCCTCTTTAAACAACATTCAAGTTCTACATGTGTGTGCAGCATTTGCAGATCACCACCATATTGTAACAGAAAGTGATTTTATTTGTCCACGTATTTCTGTCTTTGTACAGGGTCCATTGCTGGGAAAGTGTGCTCCGATAGCCATCCTTCTAATCTTAGCCATGGTGGGTCCAGAAATTTGACTTTATACCATTACTAAAAATGTTAATGTCCAGTAATATCAGTAACTGTGTTTTTTTCTCTCAGTATTGATTTTGATGAATGCATTAATATTTTGACCAGTTTTCTGAAATTTTTTGGAGATAAAAATTTGTATGAAGTAGGGTATGGTTGAAGGTTTTGCGGTATATTCTTTATCATTTCCGTTTTGACTACAGTTTCCATTAATCATGCGAGTGCTTGGGATTGTACATGTCCTTGGAATCCTCAAAATCCTGGCCAGCCAGCATGACTTAAGATATACTCAACAGTAATGAAGAAGCTGGCCTTTTGACATTTACAGCATTGGCCCTTCAACGGATATTTCATGTTTGTCCCTCCTCCTTCCGATAGAGTTCCCTCTGTAAAATTTTTAAGGTGCTTAGAACAAGGTTTTTAAATGCATGCTGTTGATTCCATAGAAAGGAGGCCTTCATTTTGGTTTTCAGCTTCTGGAACCAAAGCAAAAAAAGAAAAATAAAAACAGAAAAAAAGAAAAGATTTGCAAGATTCACCGACGCAGGAAGCAACTAAATCAGTACTAGTTAAGTACCCTAATTGCTTCAAGGATAAAAAACAGCTACTAATCATCTTCACTTTATTTCTCTGTTCTTTAGGTCAAATCTCAGTATGCATTTACAGAACTCAGGGGCAATTCAATCACGTCATTCAGTGGTGGAGTGCCCTGGCCTATGGCCCAACCAGCTGCACACTACGCTACACCCCCGTCGGCACCACGGAGACGAGACACCGAACTGAAACATTCCGGGATCTTCCCATGAACAGCTCCGTGTTTCTGCAGGAGGGCGCCTCCGATGTGCAAATGGAATGCAACGACAGCAATAACGACCTGCAGTCCTCAGGAATTGTAAAATATAACACAGATGGTGGGTGCAGGCATTGCATTATTGACACCGTTGCTCGTCAATCTAATAAATGATGCCTAATACCGGTAACATTTCAGTTCCTGTGGGAATAGACGGCAGGATGTTGCAACTTTAACATAAATGAATGGCTAAATCAGTCACAGCATGGAGCTATCAATCTCGGTCATTCACCCAGGGCAGAGGAAAGCTAGATTTTATAAGATATTAGGATATCAATGCGGCAAAATACTCACGTTCATGTTGTTGCTCAAGGACACACACACAGTCTAATTGGATTGACCCCAACATGTAGTCTGTAAATTTACCCACTTAAACCTGTCAAGATACTGTATGTGCCCCCTGGTGTCATCTCAAGTGGTTTCTCTACTGGGGTTCTGAAGACTCGTTGAATGCCTCATTGCATACAGCAGCCAGAGTGATGTCTCCAGAAAGACAAAAGAAATCTGTTGTTGTGAACACTGCACTGGCCCCATGATCTACTTGTTCTTTGGCTGAAATAGTAGAGTTTCAACCAGTTGTGAGGTATTCCACAACAAACATGACCCGGACACAAGATCATTTTTTACGCTAGACACTGACCCATTAAGATACCACAGCCCTTTTCAAAGTTGAACTTTACAAATGGCTGACGCCAGGTGGTCAGTTTTTTGGCAAGATTTGTGCGACAGAACTTCTTTGTTCAGAATTCCCCTGTGTGTTTACATGTCATTGGGCTAAACTGATTAAACACTGTCAATTCAGGCCATTTCTGCTGCAGTTGCATGAAACTGAATGTGTAAAGATGTGTGCATAAGATATGGTTTGATCCTGATATTTCTTATTTGAAAAAGTTGGTACCGGTATGCTGTTGGTTATGTTATATCTGCCCATTGTGCAAATGTTAGGAAACTAAGTTATGGATGGGATGCTTCAATGAAAGGACCCATTCAATGAAAAGAGTGCAGGTGAACATGTATATGGGTAATTCCAGAAATTAGGAGTCAGAAAGTGTGACATTTTCTGTGTCTCTGTTAATCTGACCTTTGTTATTTGACATGGAAATCTCACTGGAATTGATTTCAAACTATTACTATTTGTTTAGCAGGTAAAATCAGCGGTAAACCAGCCGAATGATGTGATTTCAAGCTATTCATGGTGACAGACAACTAAGGTGGAAAGCTTGCGGTAGCACCATGCAAGGATACGATCTCTTTGAAAAGAACCTTGAGGAACTCCTCACGGTTCTTTTCAAAACCATACAGACTCACAAAGAGATCGTATCCTTGCCTGGTGCTACCTCAAGCTTTCCACCTCAGCCGAATGATGTTATACATCATTTTGGCTTATAATTTGTTACTGCTAAGCACCTTCTTTCTTAGCTAAGCAAGTTCATGTGAGTAAAAGCCCTGCGACATTGACTTGGGATCGTTTGTGGAATCTTCTCCACCCCTCCCACAGATCCAAGGCAGAGAGTTTGCTCGGTCAGTCCAGATCCTATGCTTCCAGTTGTAACCCGGCCGCCCGTCACCGAACCCACCCACTACCGGGGCCTGCACGTCAGCAGCCTGGCCCAGGGCCTGGTCCTGGCCTTCAGCATTGTCTTAGTCTCCTCCCTCATGTCCATGCTGGCCTACAAGCGCTACAGGAGCTACATGAGGAGGCGATCCCAAAGGTGGGTGTTGATGAATTGTGTCCAGAAGGAGGTAGGGGGAGTGTTGCTTAATGAAGTGCATTGCAAGTCTGCTGGTATCTTGTCAGTGGGGTCTCACATATCTCCTCAGTCAAAATTGTCATGCAACTGGCAGGAGGCCTTTTGGGCATTCCCCCCCTGGCAATTTAATGGCAAAAAGCTACTAGTAGCTTAATTATGCCTTTTTACCAGGTAACAGATGAAGTTTTCACAGCAAAGGATTTGAAAGTGCTTGAAATGGCCTGGAGTATCTGCATTGTTTGATAGGGCTTTCTAATCCAGTGATCGTGTCAAAAATATTGGCTGGTCCCATGGGTTTACTTCGTGATCATACATGAAGGATAACCAGTTGTGGTCCAATTTTGTTGGGGCTCTAACCACTTGTGAATTTGGCAGACCTGTGGTTCTTGTGTCAAATACTCTGTGAAGTCATAACTCAGTCATCCTGATAACAGTATGTCACCAAACTCCTCTTGTCTTCTACTCAAGGGGACCTATAGATCCTTGAGTGTGACTTGCATATTCTTTATTTCCAGACTGTTGAGAGTTGAGACTGAGGAGGAGGCTAACGAGGAAGCTGCCATGCAGGAGTTCCAGAGGATGGTTTGAAATCCAGCGACCTCACATGGTCGGCATTAAAATTTTGAGATGCTTCAAAGTTTTACAATCCTCATCCAAAGGTTTGTGCTCTTCATCCAAAGATAGAGACTCTAATGGAAAGTTGGAGAATTAAACTCAAATGAGTGTGTAAAGTGACAAACTGAGTCTGTCATTGAAGTGATGGGTTGGAATCGTCAGTTAATCATCAAGCCCATCAGCAGGTTGACAACAACAGCTGATCAGCCAGTAACACTATCTGAATGCTGCTCTGAGAACTTGTTTGATGCAATGATGTCAACAGGTCAAAAATACCAATGACCCCTTTGAGCTACACAGTGGATGTACTTTTCACAAGGACTTCAACACCATTCTGAAATCAGCTGATTTCGAAGAAAATTGATTTAATACCATTGAGTTTATGAAAACTGTGCTTCCTATGGGCTCTGTGCATGACCAAGAAAGGTCATTGTACCTAGCAGTGACTTCCCACTTGTGTACATGTATTTTAGTGCTTGATGCATTTTATTTTTCATTTATTTAACTCATGTAAACTGGGAGAAGTGGGTAAACTATTTCTGGTCTCTTCATCGTTACCACTGATCTCCATGTGCTGACTGGACAGTGAGCGTGCCCATTGCCATGAAGTTAATGCATCTGATTTTTATACCTCCAAAGATGGCTTCTATGGCTTTTGATGTTGCACAGGGTGAAATGCAGTAACTTATCGCAGATGTTTTTCTGGAATATTTCTGGAATAAAAACTTACCTAAACAAAAAAATCAGTCCTTACGAAATGGCATTGGAGCATGACAGCAAACTGTCAAATCTCAAAACTTGATGAAATTACATCATGCGGTAGGGCTAAGCAACCTTCTGAAGAATTCAGTCCTTGATCTGGATGTTCTATGTACTTGGTATGTATTTAGAGATCAGTAATTGCCACTCTTACAATCAAGGTAGGTACCGAGTAAGGGGCCGCCCATAAAGTACTTAAACACAAGGGGGG